CTTAACTGCTCACCCATCCTTAAACAGTCAAGTACTTATATTGAATTGATCCAAGTCTATTTACTGAGATCTATAAATACCACATCAAGCTGCATAAATTTGGGCTGAAAATAATTATAAATAGCAATTATGGTCTTGAACGCCGCAGTCACTCTATGCAGACTGTAAGCCATGCGGGCACGATGGAGATGCTCACTATTTGAACTCTTTGATGAGGTTCTTGTGGATCTTCATGCAGAAGTCCTCCACGGCTGTCCGTCCATCAGGAAGCACGACGGGGGCCGTGTAGTCTGGGAGCTGCCCTTTCGGCTTGGTGTAGCTGCAAGGAGATGCAGCACGTTCACGCCCAGCTGTCTTGTTTTGAAAAAGCGCATGCAGTTTCACGCCGCCTCGGCCCCAGAGATATACGGTTGGCTTTTTTGGGCACATAGAACTGCCTGAAGTGGTCATAACGTCATCTGTCGCTCAGTGACACCCAGAGCGGGCAGCTTACATGCGCACGAGGTGCAAGTAGTCCCAAATCCTCTCCAGCAGGTCGTCAAAATTCCAGCGGTGGTGCGCCGAGATGGGCACGCAGTGGGGCACCTTGTAGATGATGTCCAGCTCCTCTATGGAGATCTGGTCGATCTTGTTCAGCACATAAATGCAGGGGATGTAAACCCTGGGAGGAACATAGGTGGGAGGGAATAGCAGAAAGGAAGACAGGAGGAGGAGGGTGCAAGGAAAAAAGGAGGGGAGGAGAAAGAAAAGGAAGGAAGGAAGAGTGTCAATGAGAATGTGATACTAGGCTGGAAAGGTCACATACATTACCTGAGGGATGTGCAAGCTTATTTGGGAGGGTAGGATCTGAAGGTCTGCTGTTTACCGGTTTCCCTCCACCACGTCGATGAGGTCATCGGCCGTGCAGTCACTGCGGAGGGTGACGTCTGCGTTGTGGATTTTGTACTCAGCCAGGATGCTCTTCACTGTCTCCAAGTCCAGTTCACTCTGGGAGCACTGAGTCACAGAGAAAGGCGGCGCCTTCAAACTCCAGCAGCGCTATCCCACCAGCAGCCAGCAGGGGGCGAGGCTCCCCGCTCTGCTCACCGTGGCAGTGAAGTTGATTCCGCCCTTGTCCTTCTTCTTGAAGCCGATGTTGGGCGGCTTCTTATTGAGCCGGATCCCAAAGCCTTCCAGCTCGTGCTCAATCAGCTTCTTGTGTCCCAGGGGCTTCAGCACGTCCAGCACGATCAGGATCAGGTTGCAGGTTCGAGCCACTGCGCAGAAGAGGGTGGATGAACCCTAAAAATCCAATCTGGGCAACAGACTAATAAAATTACTCCATAAATAGTGGCCACGGTATGTAGCTCCTACCTGCTATGACCTGCCTCCCCCTGCCCTTTCCATCCTTGGCCCCCTCGATGATCCCTGGAAGATCCAGTAGCTGGTGGACAGAAAAACTGAACATAAATAAACTCACCACATTGGCTCAGGAACACTGAGAAAACAGTTGACAGAGGTGGAGATTTCAGGTCCAGAGAGTATAAATCCAGACCAAAATCTTGTTTCAACCAACCAGTTGAGTATAATGAGTCACAGTCACAGAGTACTGAAGTGGTCCATTGAAACAAAATTTTGGTCTGGATTTATGCTATCTGGACCTGAAATCTCCACGTCTGCCAGCAGAATGCTAACCTCGCTATCAAAAATTTGGCCCACTTCTTAAAAACCATAGAAATTGTAGATAATTCCATCTGTGTCACTAGGAAACATTCAACATATCAGTATTTAACAAACCTGATAAAGGTTAAAGTGTTCAAGCAAATCAACCAGGTCCTATACATTCACAAGGTGTCAGGATGATGGAGGAGGCTTTCAGTCAGATGGAGAAAGAGGCCAGGAAGATCCTGACCGTACCTGAATCTTAGCACCCTTGTAGCGGATGACCCCTGGCACGGTGGTGAGGGTGGTGAACTCGTAGGCTGCCACCTCAGAGTACACCCCTGCCAGGTTGCTGAGCAGAGTGGACTTCCCTACAGACGGGAACCCGACGAACCCGATGCGGGCGTCACCAGTCTTCGCCACGTCAAAACCTGGGGGAATGGCATGGCAACGTGGACATGAGCGGCTCAATGCCACAAAACAGAGCGCCAGATCTCCTTGCTGTGTCTCCACGGCGATGCCCACCTTCCCCGGCACCGCCACCACTGCCACCCTTAGGTGTGATGAGCTCCCGCCGCAGCTTGGCCAAGCGAGCCTTCAGCAGCCCCAAGTGGTGAGCTGTGGCCTTGTTCTTCTGGGTCCGAGCCATCTGCAATACAGTTGAATGGGGCGTTAGTGAGGCAGGGGTCGAGACCGGGGCTCAAAATGCGCGCCCTCACTTGACAAAAGATCAGTCGTCGACAGTAAAAATAGGAGCTAAACAAAGTTCGGGTATTCACCTAAGTACCTAGTAATATACGCTAATGCTGGGAGTATGTGATATGCGATGCTAAAGTTTTCATTATACATGTCACGCTGTTTTATTATACATGTGCACACTTGTGTTAGCAGACACAAAGTTATAAGCCTCCATGATCATAATCTAATTCATGATCTAATGCCTGAAACAGTTTTCAAGTAGCTAATATCATACAACATCCACGAGCGCGCTAACCAGCAACGACTGGTAAATTCATCATATACGTCAACATGTTTCGAATAAGTGAAATCTGACGATTTAGTCCAAAAACCTTTCAAATTAACTGGACGTGACAGAACTAACGAGGTGCACTTTCTACACGATGACGGACAGACTGTCTGACACACAGTTAAATGATCCTGGTTCTGCCTATAGGGTTGATTCATTGATTTTCAGTACCTCGGACTCGATTTCCGCAATTTTGGCAAGCAAACTCATTTCGATCGCGTACGATTCGCACTAAAAAAAAAATCCAGGTATTGAAAACTGCGCCTCCAATTCCAGACGTGTCGCTTTTAAGTTACTGTTAGTTTTTTACAGACTGTTCACATCACGCTCCCAGCCGCAGCTCATGCTTTTCAGGCAGCCATCGTTTACGGCGAAATCACGCGAGAAGTCGGCAAATGGACGGCAGTGCTTTAATAAGTGCACCCCCTTCGTTTCGGCGGTAGAATTGCAGACGCGCGTTCTCACGTTGAGGTGTGACAGACTCATACACCACGTTCTCAAAACCATAGGGGACTTTTGCCTAACCAGTAGAGGTGGAAAGTTCAGGTCCAAAAAGTACAAATCCAGACCAAAGTTTGTTTCAACAAACCAGTTAATTGTAAAGAGTCAGTCACAGAGTACTCAGTTCGCTGGTTGAAACAAAACCTTATTCTGGCTTTGAACAAACTGGACCTGAATTTTCCACTTCTGCCAAACAGGAATCCACAGCCCCGTGTACAGAGAGAACCGGGGGTCTGGATGTAAATTTAGAGTTACCAGGGGAGGGGCTCTATCAATCGTTTGGGCAATAGTGATATATAATTTCTATGTAATTAAATATTCTTGAACTCAATATGTTCAAATAGAATTTTCATCTATCGAGTAGGGAGGGTCCACCCCTGGTAAAAAATATGCTCATCACTGATTTATATAGTACGATTATTTGAAATACAAATATTTTGACTAGTTATTAAGAATTCCGGTGCTTCATTTCATACGTATGCTTTACTGAATGTTCATTGAGTAAACCAGAAAGTCATGGAAGCTGGTGAAGCAGAGAAGGAGGGGAGGTTAAGGACATTTGTCTGCATCAGAAATTGATGTTCGGAAGTGATGCTGAACAAGACTGGGGTGTTTCAAAGGACAGTACAGTCATCATTCCTGCTTAGTCATAGACTTCAGATGATTCATCAATTGTGCAGTTTATCCGTAAAGGAAGAGCAGAGTTATTATGTCTGATGTCTGATGGAGAGATGTCTGATGGAGAGTTGTCTGATGGAGAGATGTCTGATGGAGAACTGTACTGGGTGGTTTGAGAAAAAGCATCTGGGGCTTATTGTCACAAAGACAAAACCGACTGTGGTGGACTTCAGTAGGGATCTGTTACAGTGTGTTAAGTACCTTCTCATCTACACCAATGACAGGCTGGAGTGGAATAACAATTCTGAGGCAGTCAACAGGTGCTGAGGCAACTGTTTTTCTGGATGAGATTAACGGCAAAGAAAACTGCCACAAATCTGTCCTGTTATGTGCTGGAGAGTAAAGTCAAGCGGCTGAACAAACTAGTTCCATCACAAGAATGAGCCCAGACTCTTTGTAAGTGGTGCTGGAGGTATGGTGTCCTAACTTTACACTCCATGATGAATAAGGAGGCCCATCCTCTCAACAGGGAGGTGGTGCAGTTGAGGAACAAGTCAACAGGTCAACCAAGGACGGCATCTTCAGTGCCCTGCACACTATTCTCACTCATTTGGAACATCAGAAGTCATATGTCAGAATGCTCTGTGGGGACGTCAGCTTCACTTTTAACATAATAATCACAGGCAAACTATTTTATAAACCCTTGGACATAGTCCATAGCATATGTGCAAATGGATAATGGACCTCTAACCAATAACCCCAAGCACTCAGGTTAGGAGAACGTCTTTCTTCTGCACTCACAGTCAGTAACTGGCATACCTCAGGGCTGTGCGCAGCATTTGAATAAGGTACGTGGAAAATACTACTGTAATAGGTCTGATCTCTGATTATGAGACAGCCGACAGAGGAAGTATAGAATCTGGTGAGCTGGTGCTCAAATAAGAGTTTTACTCATAATAAAGGTTAAACAAAAATAACTATTGATTTCAGATGACAATATGCTTTAAAAAACACACACCGATTTTGAGACCAGTTGGAGAGAGTCCCCAAGTTCAAATTACTGGGAGTCCACACTACCTGTGCCACAGGGATTAGTAATATTGGTTTGTGCCCAAGTGTGTGGAATATGCAATGTTCAACTGTTACCACTAGAGGTAGCTAGTATTCAACTCATTTAAAAAATGTGTTGCTTATTAGGGTTTGTGACCTTGACCAAGAAATTGGTAGATGACTGAATGGATGGTTGTGAGGGGACTGGATTGGTAATACCCATGTGCACAGCAGGCAAATAAAAACCAAAATGAGAGTAAGTATTCACCCATGGAATCGTATCTAGTAAGAATGATGACCAAAAAATGCATAAATTGTGCCGACATTATGTTTTTATCATGATGATGTGTGAGAGCAGATGTTACCCAGTAAATGGCAAAGCTCAAGGGGCAGAATATGGTGGTTCTGAGAATGTTCTTCTGACAAAATGACCACCCTCTGCTCTTTGGTTCTTCTAGGTGCGTCGGCGTCCCCATACAGTTAAAATTTAGCACCTTGGCTGTGACACAGTAACCACTTGCTGTCTCTGCCAGACAAACAGTGAACAAACAAGTAGGAGGCTGATTCAAAGGGTCATACAACACAGAAGTTACAGCTGGATACAATGACTCAAGCAATATCTCTCCTGGTAAGTGACATGGCAGCTACCACACTAAGATTCTTTTCAGTGCTTTCTGTAGTTAGGTTTCAAATCTGTGAGACCTACTGGGTCAGATATCCCTGTCTGCTCGGCTGTAATTCTACAAGCATTGCTGTGAATTTTGTGGTTCTGTGCAGGTCAGAAGCCCGAGGTTTATCATCGCCACTCTGATTCTTGGCACTGGTGGATCATTCCAGTATGGATTTCACATATCTGTGCTCAACTCGCCATCGCCAGTGAGTTCCCCCGTTCTGGTTACTCTCTGTCAGATCAAGGTCCAGTTGATGGAAGTGGTTCTGGAGGTGATGGGCTGTGTTGCTCATTATGTTTGAGCGAGGACTGTTAGGTTAGGGTGAGTCAGCATGCAGGTGGTTTGGTGTGTGAGTTTCGGGCCAGTGGGACAGACAGGAGCTCGTTTATCTCACATGGCTAGAGTTAAGTTGCCTTGTGAAAAGAGAGCACAGCTGGCAGTGGAGCCACTGCATGTCCGCTGATCCTTAATGGATATTCAGGTGCGAAAAGCAGGATAGAAGAATGTGAATGTGTTGGATTGCTCAGAAGTACAACTGCAGTTTCATCGTGATGGTGTAACCTGTGCATGGCTATTACGTCATTAACCCCCTCCTCGTGTGACACTCTTTCGGGTCACTTGATCTTGTTTTTTATATGTGTGAAAAGTTAAATTTTGCTAAAGTGAGTTAACTAGAAGGAGGGGGCAGTGACAGAGGGAGACAGATAATGAGTTACTGATTCCTTGGTGACACAAGAGCTCTGTGATTTCTCTAATATCTCAATAAATACAACACAATAACATTTGGGTCTTGGCTGTGGTTATCTCACCTGACTAAATCTTAATGTCTTAATTAAGGCCCTTTTAGATAAAACTTAAGAAATTCCCCTGTCTTCCCAGTAGCTGTTCAAGTGCTACCGAATGATACTTCTCTTTAATATTAAGTGAAGAAAGCTTATGCTTCCCGACTCAGAAACGGCACATGACCAGCGTGACAGTTGCAGGAATTAAAATGATGCGAACTCACCCATGTCTATGGTGTAGTTCATTAAGGAGCTGGTCAACAGAACCTGCACTGAACGCTACAACCTCTCCCTGGAGCCCTGGGTTTTGAGCCTCATCTGGTCTTTCATTGTCTCCATCTACTGCATCGGGGGAATCCTAGGATCTTTGTTCGCTGGACGGTTGGCTCATGTTTATGGAAGGTGAGTGCTGGTAAGATCAATTTTGAGATGTGGTCCAATCAGAGCACCATCTGTTCCGGATGTTAAGGAAATGAACTTAGACCAAACAGTTACCAGTGAAAGTCTCAGTAGGTGAAACTAGTGTTGTGACCTTTGAGCCAGATACAAAAACCTCATCTAGTAACCATCTAGTTATGTAACTGCATATCTATCTGGAAGATATTGTCAGAGACACACTAATATTTCTGTTAGGGTAGGTTCTTTTACAAGCCCCCTTTGAATTAGCCTTAATGTTAAAGCGATGTTGGAAAAATTGATCTACTAAGAAAACAGAAGTAAAATCCTCTACATGAGGGTTTCAGTGCTAGCATTTTGCTGTTATTGTGAGTTTCTGCAAGTATTTTAGTCCATTGGATTCGAACGATTCTAGGTACAATTTTAAAACTGGTAGGTTCCACTAAAACCTGTGCATTAAAACTGCATTGAGATAGATTTCATGGAAGGCCCTGCTCTTCTCACTGCTTTTCTAGAAAGAAGTCCCTGCTGTTCAACAACATATTAGCCATAGCCGGGGCCACCATGATGCTCCTGAGCATGGTCGCAGATTCCTTCGAGATGATCATGATCGGGCGACTCCTCTATGGTGTCAATTCAGGTTGGTGTCCACAGAGATAAAAGCCACATAAGCGGTCAATTACAGCCTGTGAGGAGAACCTGCAACCTTACTGGGCAAACATTATGGAAGATGGATGGATGATAGTCTAGTTAAGGTTGAAATGAGATGGAATCAATCCTAGTGAGCATTTGGCACAAAATGCGATTTGGCACACACCAAAAATCCTGACTGCAAGCAAAAGCCACCCCTTCACTCGAACGGCTTGTCTTTAGAAACTCGAGCATCCACAGAAAGCTCCAATGAATGTGTGTAAATTTACATACAAGTCTTGAAGGCATCGGAAGCTCTCTGTAAGATCATTGGTACTCCCAAGAGGAAAAACTGGTAGAAAATGATTGCTATACAATTTATAGTAACTTAGTATGGTATAGGGTTTAATGTTTAACCCTTCCAGCACAATGTATCACAGAAATTGGAACAACAGCAATGAAGCAATGAACAGTTTTAGTCTTTATTATATTACACCAGACTTGATCTGAAATGTCCCACTGAAGAGAGGCTTTGATGTAGGATTCCGCCAAAGTTGAAGCTTTCTTCTTTATAAATGCTCTACCCAAAGGATTTGCCCTGGTAGTTCATACGCTGTATGTGGTGGAGTGCGCCCCAAGGACGATGCGCGGCATAGCGGGTGTGTCTGTCGCTACTTTCGTCGCCTTGGGGAAGTTCGCTGGACAACTGCTGGGACTCAGGTGAGACGCCAAGGCGTTTGCCAGAGTTAGCTTAGCATTGCTAATAGCTTAGCATTAAGGTGGGAGCATTTAGCTATTATCTTAGCATATGTCAATTCTACCATGCACTGGCTTATTTAAACACCAGTTGCATGGATTAGCTGCTGAAGTCTATGAAGAGGACTTGACTTGAAGAGGACATGTTTAAATGAAATTGGGGCCATGTGACGGGGCTGCCCTTCCTTGCAGGGAGCTGCTGGGCTCAGAGGACTGGTGGCCCTGGCTGTTGGCCTTCTCTGGCTTCATGGGCATCTTGCAGCTGCTCACCCTGCCATTCCTCCCAGAGTCTCCACATTTCCTGCTGCTGGACCGGGGGGACCGGCCCGGCTGTGAGAAGGGTAAGGTCCTATGTGTTGCTGTCATTTTTGATGATGAAGCTCATTTCCAAATCAAAGGTTAGAACTGACTAGTTACATGAGCATTACCATACTACAGCAATCAAAACTTCTGGTTCTGGAAGATCACTCCAGTTGCCTCTCATTTGTTCTCTTGTCAACCTTATAGTATGTAAAGTGCTTCCCAGTCCTGTGTTCCCCAGTCCTGTCATTGATGTCATTCTGTCATGTTGCCTGTGCCCCTCCTCACTCCCTCCTCCCATTCGGGTCCTCAAAGATCACATGCATTTCCAGTTGTTCTTTTGAGTTTAATAAAACCCCTTTTTGTTTGCCATCACCCCTGCTCCCATGTCCTTCAGTCCACCCGACCCAACATTATTATTATTGCTGTGACTTTGCTTAATGTAGACCTTTATCCAAACTATTTTCAGCTCTTTACACACTTAGGAAATCTGTATGCAGGTATGCAGGTTAGATAAATCTCAAGGTGATATGGATCATCACTGATGTTGATTTGTCCCCTGTCACCACAGCCATGCAGCAGCTGTGGGGTAAGGGAGACCACACCTCAGAGATCGAGGAAATGCTGCTACAGAGGGCGGCTCTGCAGGGGGTGCAGTACCGGACTGTGTGGGAGCTGATATGTGACCGGACTGTACGCTGGCAGCTGCTGACTGTCATGGTCACTTGCAGTGTCCTCCAGTTCTGCGGGATCAATGCAGTGAGTACCAATCAATCAACTAACTACCCAATCAAGCAATCAGTCAACCAATCAATCAACCAACCAATATATCAATAAATCAACTGATCAATCAATCAATTACGTTAATACTAATTAAGATGTGGCTTGCACACATTTTGTCACACATACTATCAAATTTCAGTTCTTCACCAGAGAGATATTGCAAACAAACAAATTTGGATTCATTTCAGTTACGTAAGACAACAGCTGATGAATGCTGGCTACCTCAGAGCTCTGCTTGGACAAAACCCAGTGCACCATCAAACCCTGTTTCCTTGACACTGTCAATCAAAGAATAGCTTTTCTCGGTGTAATTCAGCCACACCCCGAAGTATGTCTCACTCTGTGCTGCCCTACAGGCCAAAGCAGTCGTGTCCTCCACCTCAGGTCTACATGTACGCCTTGGACGTCTTCCGCACGGCAGGGATTCCCTCTCACCAGCTGCAGTACGCCACCCTGGGAACAGGCCTCTGTGAGATTACCGTCTCTCTGACTTGCGTGAGTCTCTATCTTTGCTTGTTTTCTTAGCTGTCACTTGTTGGGACTGCTTCATGGATCAGGATCTCTAAAAGCAAAAAAAAAATGTTAGACATATTGAACGGTTGAAACATATGATTGAAATAAATATTCCTCAATCCTATCAATGTTTAGTACATCCTTGTGCAAATGAAATGAAAACAAGTCTGAAAACAATGTGTAGGCACAGTGCCTCCTCTGTCCATCCGCCCAGCTCTAACCCCACCCGAGCAGGCCTGCCTGTCCGTGGGCACAGTGCCTCCTCTGTCCATCCGCCCAGCTCTAACCCCACCGAGCAGGCCTGCCTGTCCGTGGGCACAGTGCCTCCTCTGTCCATCTGCCCAGCTCTGACCCCACCCGAGCAGGCCTGCCTGTCCGTGGGTACAGTGCCACCTCCGACCATCCACTCAGTCTAACCCCACCCAAGGAGGTCTGCCTGTCCGTGGGCACAGTGCTTCCTCTGTCCATCCGCCCAGCTCTAACCCCACCCGAGCAGGCCTGCCTGTCCGTGGGCACAGTGCCTCCTCTGTCCATCCTCCCAGCTCTAACCCCACCCAAGCAGGCCTGCCAGTCCGTGGGCACAGTGTCTCCTCTGTCCATCCTCCCAGCTCTAACCCCACCCGAGCAGGCCTGCCAGTCCGTGGGCACAGTGCCTCCTCTGACCATCCACCCAGCTCTGACCCCACCCGAGGAGGCCTGCGAGTCTGTGGGGACAGTGCCTCCTCTGTCCATCCACCCAGCTCTAACTCCACCCAAGCTGGCCTGCCAGTCCATGGGCACAGTGCCTCCTCTGTCCATCCACCCAGCTCTGACCCCACCCGAGCAGGCCTGCCAGTCTGTGGGCACAGTGCCTCCTCTGTTCATTGCACTCTCTGCCCTGTTGGCTGTGCCGACCAGCAGGTCCCTGGCCACGGCCACATGTCTTTGTGACAACTTGTTTCAATTAATTTGCACAAGCACGTAAATCTATGGAGATTCAATGCCAACTGGACACAATCCATTAAGCATTTTTTTTCTCACAGGCAATGATAATTGAGAGCACAGGCAAGAGGGTTCTGCTGATCCGAGGTAACCTGATGATGGTTGCTGTTCTGGGACTGCTCACTATCACCCTCAACCTACAGGTGAGCTGCAATTGTCAGGGTCAGCACCCGCCTGTCTTTCATGTTCTCCTCCCCGTTTGGCCAGCAGATGTCACTGGCCATCCTGTCCTCCCCATTGTCAAAGTCTTCAGTGTTGCTCCCTAGACAGCTGCATGGTTCAATGAGCTGAGTGTGTGGCCACCTGTAAATCCCTCAGTCATGTGTTCAAATCCCAACTCCCCTGTTTTTGTATTTTGTTCCCTAATGTTTCATTTGTATCAGTTTTTCTAGTGTCTTGATGACTTGTATTCTTTGTTTTTTTGCTTTGTGCCTTGGTTTTGTTTTACCTGCCTTCATTATTTTCCCAGTGTTAGATTCTGTTTCCTTGTTTCTCTGTCAGTTTCTTAGTTTCCCTGTTGATCTCACAGTTCCTTGATTTAATTATTAGTTTCACCTGTTGCCTGTTTTCTTGTGCCAGTCCTTGTGTGTTTAACCCTGATTGCTTGTGGTCCTGCACCCTCCCTGATTGGTTAATTGTTTCATGTCTGACTCCTCCTGCGTTGTTACCCAGTTCGGTTTGTGTATTTATGTTCCTGCTTTAGTTCGATTCTTCAGTGGGTCACTGTATATTTCAGAATGTTGTTTTATTTTTGCACCTTGTTCCCGCTCCTTGTTCCCGCTCCTTGTTCCCGCTCCTTGTTCCCGCTCCTTGTTCCCGCTCCTTGTTCCCGCTCCTTGTTCCCGCTCCTTGTTCCCGCGACTTTTTATAGTTAGTCTTTGTTTTTGCTTTTCAACCTCTCATGGTCCATTTGTTTTTGTAGTGTTATCAGTGTTTTCAGTTTCTGTTAATAAACCCCTGTGTTCCTGTGAGTAGCAAGTGGATCTTCCACTCCTTTCTCAGCTTGCAGCATTCCGCACCCCAGTGATAGAAACTCCCGAGTACATGACAGCAGTGTCCTTCTGGTCATCTGATGCTGTTTTACTTCACCACCAGCTGTTGGAAGGAAGACCCAGTGGTGAAGAGGCTCCCTGCTTTTCCATCAACACTTTCTAACTCCTGGATGTTTTGAGCTTTATTTTAAAGAAATCTGTGTTTGTGTGTGTGTGTGTGTGTGTTCAGGATTGAATGGTTCAGCTGATGTGTCAATTTACAGAAACAGGTGTTTTGGATGCCTTACTGCAGCATGATCCTCATCTTCATCTACATCTTCTTCTTCGGCAGTGGACCGGGTATGTATATCCCAAACTGGGAAAACTACTCGATGTTCAAATCTTAGAGCCAAGCTCTGTCCTAAATCCAGGCTTCATGGTTACATTGACCAAGGTGTCTGGGGAAATGCTGTTGTGCTTATGCCATTAGCTCAAGCTTTTTTGGTTTTAATAAGCTGCTTTGACCAGAACAATGAAGAGGCATTGGACGTGGGGATGGGAGCTGGAGAATGATTGGCTAAAATGCTGTGTGTGTGCATGCCTCACAGCTGGTGTGACGATTGCACTTGCTGCGGACATCTTCAACCAGGCCTACAAGCCTGCAGCTTACACTGTCGGCAGCTTTCTCAACTGGATCTCCCTCTTCCTCATCGGAATATTGTTCCCTGTACTTGTAGTAAGTACTTGGGGGGTCCGGAGCTCCTCCCATTATGCTAATGTTACTGTAATTCAGTCGGATTGCAAACATTCAATTAAACTCAATTTCATTTTGTACAGTGCATTTTCACAACATTACATTGTCTCCCCGTGCTTTACATTATCCCTGCCCAAAGCCCCCAGTGAGCAAGCCAGAGGTGACAGTGGCAAGGGAAAAACTCCCTAGAAGGAAGAAACCTTGGGAAGGAACGAGACTCAAAGGGGGAGCCCATCCTGCAGGGGGCAGCAGAGGAAGCCCTAACCCTAACCAGACTCAAAGGGGGAGCCCATCCTGCAGGGGGCAGCAGAGGAAGCCCTAACCCTAACCAGACTCAAAGGGGGAGCCCAACCTCCAAGGGCCAACAGGAAGTCAAAATAACAGGATGGCAAAATCCTAGTTTACACAGTGAAAACATTTAGATTTTTAAGTCTCAGTGTTGCATGAAGGTGACAGTAGCTGGTGCTACTTCTGACAGGATAAGTAGCGGAACAGCAGCAGGGCAGGCATCACTCTGATGAATCATTTGGAGAAGAACGGATGAGTTCTTTGCCACCAAGTCTGGATGTCTGAAGCTTTTTTGACAGGTTTTTACTTCAGTGCGATCGTTTTTTGTTTTTCTAACTGATCAAACATCTTCCTGTTGTGATTAGCCATATCTGAACAGACGGCAAAAAACAGGCACATTTGTTCAAGTCGTACTGAAACCACACTAGTTTTCATGGGATCTAGACACCCCAGCGTTGCTTCCACGCTATAGTTTGGACCATAATACAGTACATCCATTGAAGATTTGCATCCTTTCCCCCATGAGGAAAGAGTTCATCTCTGCAGCCAATTTTTCTTACATTAAACTATCCTGACCATTTTGTACATACAGGTTCCGCAGATGACTTGAGGAAAGTTCTCCTCTGTCTCCACAGCAACACCTGGGTGAATTCTGCTTCATCATATTTCTGGCCTGCTGTCTCTTCTGTGCAGCGTTTATATGGAGACATCTCCCAGAGATAAAGAACCGGACGATCCTGGAAATCACAGAGGACTTCCGGAGAATGCACGCTCCAAAACGAGGTGTGGGCGAATGGTGCATGTCTGAGGTCAAAACCCAAGCCATGAAATCGACAAAACTCTAGAAGTGTTTTTGGATATTTTCAGCATTTCAAAAGCAAGTGTGCACTGCTGTCATCCATCGAACCATGAGTTTTATGATTTGAAAAAAAAAAAAATAATTACACCAAACCTCCAACCTTTAGAAAACATTAATAATTGAGTCCCTTTTCTGTAGCTCAACACCATTAAATGGTATGAATAACAAACTAGTGGAATTGAGTTAAGGCGAAGTAGGGCTGGAGCTGGGGTGGTCGGGGATGAGCAACCGGACAGGGAATTGAGAGTCAGAGTCAGGGTCACGTAGCCAGGAGGGTCGGAGCAGGGGTGGTCAGTCCGAGGATGAAGACTTCACACACGGAGCAGGAGCAGAGAGAGAGTCGAGGACAGGAGTGGAAGGCACGGGAACAGGGCTGGGCAGATCAGTGACCTGTTCTACGAAGCGGGGTTACTGGCTTATCGGGGTAACTTGTTGGATTTAAGGTAGTCTGGGCACAATGTAAGTGAACGAATATGATGTCCATTTAAACTGTAGTACCTTAAATCCGACACGTTACCCCGATAAGCCAGTAACCCCGTTTCGTAGTACAGGCCACAGAGCTAGCCAAAAGACAAAGGTCAGCTCGCTCAGTAAGTATCATGTGAACACTCTACAATACCTGGCATTACATTTCTCCTGCATTATTAACATGACATTAATATAATCCTATTATAGATATTACTTTAGTGTTATTACAATGTTGTGAATATACAAAACTATGCAAAAGTCTTAGTCAAAGAAAATGATCTGTAAATGATCTCCACATCGGTATAAAACTGATATATCTGTTAGTGTGTCAGCTTTGCCATTTCAGAACCTCTTCTAATGTCAACCCAGAATTTGCAGTCCAATACACCCATATATTTTTTGACTGAACCACGACCCTACCTTGTTTGGCTAATCAATATGTCATTTATTAACTAATTTCATTGATTAATTAATTAATTGAGCTGATGGACCCCTGAGGAGAGGTTTGGGAGCCAAAGCGGAATTCATCTAGCTAACTTTTTGGAGAACAGAAGGAATTCTTATTTATTTTTTATAGTGTTACTGATAATTTGAATATGTTCTTATGTTCAATAGTAATTTTTCCTGAACAAATATACAGGTAATCCCCAGATGAACAGCCTTAAACATCCGACTGCCTGAGGTTTTTACAAACTATTGTAAAAACCGTATTGACTCCATGAAACGTTTTAAAGATAAAAGCACACTGCATGCATGCATACTGTAGGACCAGCACGATAACTCCTGTTGTCTCATGCTGCCCTGTCCTCCCCCCTTATGTAATAAGACAATTTATCTATCAGCATCTCTCCCCACCCCACATGTCACACACGCCCAGCAGTTGTTCTGCTGAAAGTCTGCCCAGTTCAGGGCTATAGATCATAGATCTTTTCCAGGCAGAGGTGCAAGCCCATAATATTGGACCTTAATGCTGCAACAACCTGGCTATTTTTGCAGACCCCCCCCCCCCCCCCCACCCCCCCCCCCCCTTTGCTGCCACACCACGGCATGAGTGGGAGGTCCCACTCTCATTCAGCTGAATGAGGAAGGGGTTCCTTAAAATGTCATTCATACTTCTGAAATATTACCACCATGAAGTTATGCATCTGTGGGTTGTGTTGTGATCTAGGTCCAAACTATATCTATCAGCAGGACTTTTGTGGGGTCATCTGACCTGCAGGTTCTGGTATCTCCATTTATTAGCTGTATTAAACCATTTATTAGCTGTATCCGTGTTTGCTTCGTTCCTTGAGCCCATGCCCTCTCGTCTTTTCCGACCGGGTGAGCGGAAGTCCAGACGAAAGCAGCACAGGCTCGACACCAAACGCAAGGCAGGTTATCGTGGACAAACAGCCTTCTATTTTTATACATGATGGGTTTAATGGATAGGCTCTGGTGCAATCAGGAAAAGGCTTTGTTCCGCGGTGATCGCGTGACTGTGGAATCAAAGCCATCGGTAATCAGATCACCAAAGACAGAGGCAGACTACGCTTCAGAGGTTTACGCAGCGATGCGCTTTTTAAATGTTGTTCCTTATCAACAGATAACTGCAAAAAGCCAGTTATAATTTTACCCATATGTATAGTACGAGAGCAAAGTTATATGTAATAAAGCTTTTACTAACTTGTATATTTGCTTGCTATTTTCATTTATGCATCCCGATATTTACTGAAGCTGTTTCTAAGAAGTTCCTTTTACCTTACGATCACATATATAGGCTACGTAGTGACTAGTCCTTAATTTAAAACACCACATCCTTTACCACTACCCCGCCTAGTGTCTAAAGTAGGGAAATATTTTTTAATGATGCTTATGAGATCCGCTGCTTCCTTCTGTCCTCGGAAAAATGGCTGGTCGTACGTGTCACTTGTGCTAAACGGCGGTGTTGCTGTCAGAGCACAGGAACGACTCTATATGAAATCGATCTGCGCGGGATTAGTCGGATATGCGGTGTCCACGTGAAGTGTGGCCGAGGCGTGTATTATAGGGAACGGGCTAAAAATATAAAAAGGACGGGTTCAGATCGTGCCTTTATGGTGCCAATAATTTAACCAACAGGGTCTGAGGATGCTCTGGGTGTAATTGTAAGGCTCCGGGCACGCTGCCAGGCTTTCGTAGGACAATTTCAAAGCCCAATTTAAGGAATTTGGGGAGTTGGATTTGTAGCCCACTTCACTCATATCCACAGCACCTACATCTCTGTTGTTAATAAACGTAAACCTGGACACCGTCGCCACAATTGCGACTGAAACTGTATTTATTTGACTATTCATACCGTATTTAAACCGGTGCACACGACTTAGGTACAAAAGGTTCGTCTTATGACTTGCTTGCGTCCCGATAAGCAGAAGCCAGGATGCCCGGAGAACGTGCGTTTGCTTCGGCTGTCCGTGTCCCCCTTCGTGTGTGCGCATTCCTGATAACATAATCTCTGCGTGTAACGCGGATCCGCGCACCGACTCCATCCAAAATAAGCCATCATAGGGTCCACACCCTCGCCGCTTTTCGACACGTCCAGTCCACACCGCACTTGGGGAGGAGTTGTTTACATACGAAAGCCAAACAAGAGGGGACGTAATTCACTTTTGTCCTGGCGCAGCCCTCTTATCTCATATAAACCCCCGAGACCCTGCAGTTTGGACCGCGGTTGTGAACAGGAGGAGACGAGAGGTCGTGAGAAAGGGGGAAGGTTTCGACATGGGGAGCATTTCCACCGAAACCGGCGAAGATACCGGCGAGTCGGTTCGCATGCCGCTGCCATCGGATCCCAAGACTGGTTCGCTGAAGAGGGATTACCAGCACAGGTGAGGAGTCCGATGCAGCGGGAATTAGGAAAGATCGCCGCTACTGGAGCGCCCCATTCAGTGACACGCATTAAGAATACCTGCCATTCATTATCATCATTTACAAAAGATTCCCACGGTCTACATCTGCACCGCCTGATTTGGGACAATCTTTTGATTTTGTCCCTACCTATATATTAAAAACAGTACCCCGCATATTTAATTTATGCGGTTACATACACCAATTGATCAGCACTGGCTTTGGCAAATAGTAACTGATTTAATCAGTTACTATTTGCTGTCATTATTCTGTTTTCAGAGCCGTGCAATGATTCCACTAAATAAACTTTGTTTCCGAGTGAAGTTAGTAGCACCACATGATTAACACGTTTTATTGCTCAACGAACATGAGCAAAAAGCATCATATAGGCGTTATTTCATACGCTCGAAATAAAATAAGCGCCTCGAATGGTAATCTTTGCGTCATGACATAATTCGTGTTTGGCGATCTTGATTCTAACTTTGAACTCTCTGAACTCATGAACTAAAATCTGACCCCTTGCACTGAGAATAAAGACCTATCGTCTAACAAGTGCCAGGGCAAATAAATTTATGATTTGACGTGGAGCTTGCTGGCCGAAGATAAGGTGAATCTCGTGTTTAATGGACGTTTAAATGAGATTAGTTAATAATTTAATAAATCCGATGCAGATCCTGTGACTTTTGAAATATTCACAGCGTACAAGAAGATTGTGTTGTATTTTCTGCCTGTGTTCCTGTGTTGTAGTTTACAAGAGAAAAATTATATAAAATTTTATTTTTGCCGCATTGATTAAACATACCCTGCGAATGTGTCCAGGATAATAGGGGCATGGATACCATGGCAGATTCAACGGGCGCGCCACTGAAGTGGGGCCCGGGAATACGTAAGATTTTATAATATGGGGGGGAGGGGGGCAAGGTGACTTTTTGTTTGTGGGCCCAGAATTTCTAGGTTCTCCCCTGCAGATAAGGGGTTAGAAGGTGGATGGCTGGATAATTAAAATTACATACATCTGTATGTGTCTGGGACACATTAGATGCTTTTGTTTGGACTGCGAGTGCTGCATTCTGTTACATCAGGCTGGCCTCTCTGATAAATATTCATTAGGCTGAGTGTGTATTTTTATGAGTTTTTGGTAGTAGAACAAGCAACCTAAATAATTTTCTATAAAAATTAGCTGGTACTTTGATATAATGGAAATTGCAATATTGTGGTTCTGACCAGAGCTGTGCCAGACACTCTGTGTGGGATAACGCTGATGTTATAAGGCCCATGGCATAGTGTCATGGCATGGTGCACTGCCTCGCACCCCTGGGCACCTGCCCCCTATGTCTGCCTGCCTGTGCGGCTTGCATGTACAGTATGTGCCCTGCAATGAACTGGCACCCCAGACCACGCTAGGATGGATGGAATGGGTAGAGGATGGATGGATGGAAATTACGCTGTTTTATGCTGGATGGCAGTAAATGAACACCCCAGGAGTCCCTTGTTGGGGGGGCTGGTTCCTGCTGCTGTGTGTACTGCCCAGGTGTGTGTCAGACCATGTGGCCACCATCTTGTAAATCATTAAATAAGCTGAACAGTATTGACCGGGTGGGGGGGGGGCAGGGAGATTGGAGTGGTTGGAGAGGGGCAGACTTTACCTTTGAGGTATTGATAGGTGCTTATGTGGTATGTGATAGGTGCATAGGATAGAGTCAGACCCGAGTTAGCTGGGGCAAAAACACTTTCATTATTCATTTTCATAATTCTGAATCATTACAAATATATGCAGAACCTTTAGAATATCTTGCATGAAGAAAGATGAGGTATGTAAAATTTTAAATTTAGGTCCCACCTCAGTTTGCAATAAACTAAAACATCTTTGAACACTGAGCTTGAAAATTGAGGAGCTCGTCTAAAAAAAAAAAAAAGTGCATTTTATGTACGAGTTCAAGACATGGCAAGTACACAATCCCCATGTAGAACACAGAAGTCCTACTATCTTAGTTATTTATCACAAAGTGATACTTTGGTTCTTATTACACACTTTCATGCTGGTAGGATGCAAACTACAATCATATATTTATTTCAAACAAAAACAGGGTGTTCCTTAGCTCACTGCATCATCAGGGACCCATCGCGTCTCTCCCACAGCCCACTGCTGTCTGCTGGGAGGTTCTGTAGCCTCGAAGCCAGGACTTTTAAAAACAGTTTATTTGACCGCTGAATTGTCTGCCCCCTCCCCCCCAGCATAAGTTTGGGTCTGTTAAAAGGCCCGGTGTGCAAATCTGTTTATTTATTGTACATTCTGCTTCAATGCCAAACTACTGCACCACTTTGAACAATCTTCTGTCTGTCTTTATGTCTTCATGCCTTTTATGTTTTAGTATTTAAATTCTCTTTATTACTTATTTTCATTTGCACTATGACCAACTCCACACATCACATATCTGAAGCTGACAATAAAAGATACTTTGACTATTATGTAGGATATTTTAAATTCTGACACAAATTTGGAATCTCGGAATATTGGACCTTAAGCCTAAAGGAATGCATGTCCCATGGGACTTGATCATGGGAAATTTGGATCCCGACACTTTTGGAAATAGTTTAATAATAAATTCTCAGAGGTCCCACTGGACTGGACAGATCATATGGAATATGGATTTCCTGCTGGTAGACATTCTGCTTCCCGGGGGCTTGGTAGGGATGTAGTTTAACTTGCAGTTTGACCAAGCTGACCTCTGCCCTCTGTCTAATGTTAAACTGCACGCCATGACGTTTTTATAGACGTTATAGCAGTTTGCGTGTGTTCCAATCTGACCTGCAGGTCCACAAGATCTTCTCCAGAGTGTCTCTATTCTCCTGCTTCCTCCCCCCACAGTGCACAGACAGCAGATGATCATCAGTGTGGCCCCCGGTTCACCACCTGTGCAGTGGGGTGGGGGTCGTTTCAGAACCATGGGCATCTTCACGGGTTCATGTTATTGTCGCGGAAACAGAGCGGACATGCGGCACTAGCTGGATCAGTTCCCACCCCCCCCCCCCCCCCCCCCCCCCCCCCCCCCCCCCACCTCCATGATTTTCTTTCTGTACCTAAAGCAAGAAAGTTTCCTTAGGGCGAGACGGTCTGTGACCTCTCAGACGTTTTCAGTTGG